GGCACTTCATATCAAAAAGGTTGCCGACCCCTGGTGTAGGATGACAGTCAGGAGGCGTAGCCGCCTTATATACTGTGAGCTGCGCGCGCATTCAGGTAGGCTCGCCCTGATTGGCCGGCTACGTTTATACAACTTCAGTGTGTGAGCGTTCGCGTATCATTGATGAGAGTAGTAACCATAGAGTCCAGTAGAGGGCTCCGCCTGTGCTTATAGAACTAGGGTTACAGTATGTAACCCACCGTTTCAGTCACACAGTCAAAGTTTCTCAGAATTTTCTAGTTTTATGTGTGAGTGTTGACACTGTTGGTATGATAATCTAAATTATTCAGGGGAGGATTCCAAAAGCTTGACACAAGCTGAGAGGTTGTGCTGCTAGCCCGTCACAAACAGAAATGCAAATGCAGTGAACTTGCTGAGGTGTGCAGTGTCTCAGTGATGTATGCTGGGAAGTTACAGTCTGAATCAAAGTACAGCAGAGACCAGATATTAGGGTGAAGCTAATTGATCCCTGAAGGGAGACTGAATCCTGCTGCAGTGAAGCGTAGAGTTGCCGGTCCCAGCAGAGAGGCCGTGATTGGACCTGAAGATGGCACAGTGTTGTGAAGGGTTCCTGAGGAGGCCAGTGACTCATTGAGATTACATTGGACTGTGGGTCATTTAACTGAAATGTATCAATTTAGGATAAACCCCTTGAGAGGATCCATCTCGTTTTCAAAAGGGTTCCTATCATATGGTAAAAACAGTAACAAAAAAACTAAAATAAACAAAACAAAGTCACAACAATACAACCACAGACAAACTACTACAAACACAACACAAACATGAAAGATACACATTCGGACATAACCAATGTATGGTAACAGAGAGGCCATGTCCGGCATGTACGACTGGGAGCCGTAGGGTTGCTGGTTCAAGTCCCCGAACAGACCTAAATATGGTTCACCTCCTAGGCCCTGCCGTGGTGCCCTTGATCAAGGCACCGGTCCCCCCACTCCCATTGCTCCCTGGGCGCTGTGCAATAGCTGCCCACTGCTCCTAGTACTAGGATGGGTTAAATGCAGACACATGCAACACATTTCACTGCGTGTGCTGTGTGCTCCGCATGTGTGACAGTTAAGCCCTGAGACTGTTTTTCAGGCCTCAGGTTCGAAAATGACATTCCCAGAACAATTGACTATATCTTCACTTCTAAAAGGGTTAAATTAATAATCTTTTTTCTCAAAGCAATGATAAATCTGTGAGTTGAATGTAGAAGAGTCAGAATCAATATAGAATGTTGGCAGTGTGTGGAGGCAACGTGGCGGCAGCCATTGAGGACGAAGGCCCCGATAGCAGCCATGGCAGGTATCATCAGGGTGCAGGGCCGCTCGGACGCGGCGTATCCCGGTGTGCCCCCCCCTCGACGAGAGCCTGGCGGCCCATCTGCTTCCGCAGGCAGCTGGTGTGGGCGGAGGGAAAGAAACCTCTGACCCCGCTGCCGCGGGACCGAGACACCTTAGAATATTTGGATAAAATATTCAGGCTCGGGGCACAGATGGCGGCTGCGGCGAATAATCTCGGCGTGTTGGGTGTCTCCCTGCCCTCAGGAAGACAGGAGAATTCAGACCTATTCTAGATCTCTGCACCCTGAATAGGCACATTGCCTGCAGAAAATTCCGCATGTTAACTATAAAGCCATGCGTTTAGATCCCAAGAGTCACAAACGACGTCTGGTCGGTGGAGGGCAACCTCCGATTCAGGGTTCCTTTTGAACAGTCAGCTGTTTGGTGGATATACTGAGTTTTTAAAAACACATGCTATATAAAAGAAACTGTATAATTACGATAAGTTTGAAAGTAGTCAGTAGGAGCAAATGGAAAGCATTAACATACTATATAACCAGAACACATCGAAGGATGGACTAACATCGTGTATATCAATGTTTTCGTGAAAATACTAATATAGATTAACATAAGCTTCTTACTATTAAAGAAAGTGACAAGACATTCTGAGAGAACCACTGATTACACGACTGTACTACACATAATACATATGATTTATTTGTCTGAATATATGAAAACCTCTGCCATATGACATAATTATAGCTTTGATCAGGGGCGGACTGGGACTACAAATCAGCCCGGGACTCTCGACCGGCCCACTTCGGTACCGCCGGCCCACCTCGGGAAATTAACGGGGGGGGGGGGGGGGGGGGTGCTAGTGAGTTATCCGAGCGGCTCACCTCGGTGCCGCAAGTAAATACCGCGAGGAAATTGTCGACGGGGGGGGGGGGGGGGGGGGGGGGGCGGGTGCTAGTGCATTATCCGAGCGGCCCACCTCGGTGCCGCAGGTAAATCGGGATGGCCAGTCCGCCCCTGGCTTTGATACATTCTGCTGTCTGTAACATCTTCCAGACCGAGCTTCTATTTTCTGTACTCAATGATCCAAACAGTTACATTAAAGGGCCCATGTCATGGCCATTTCCACTGATCATAATTACATTGTTGAGGTATACTAAAATAGATTTATACTGTGCAATTTTCCAAACTCACATTGGTTTCGCATACAGCATCTCTGTAAAGTATGTGTCAGTATTCACTCTCTCCACTAAACGACTCGTTGGAGCTCTTGCCCCCCCCTCCCTGTGAGCCTAGTGTGCTCCGATTGGTCAGCTCGGCCACTCTGTTCTGATTAGTCAACCACCAGAGAGGCTCCGCCCATGTCTAACAGTGCTTTTTTCGGCTCGCTCTCAGAACATCAGTCTTATAATGGCGTCGGGACAGCCGTATATTTTATACGCTAACTAACTGAACTGTACCTACAACTGTTGTTATAGAAGAGTGTGACGGCCCCAGGGCCTTTGTGCAGGTGTGTTGCAGGTCTTACGATGGGGTGGAGCTGAAGAGGCTAATCAGCACGATCACGGACACCTGGCCGGAGCCGAGGTGCTATTAAGCCCAGCTGCCCGGAGTCACACGGCGGCCCCTGTCTCTCTTCAAAGCGGCTGCAGAAGGACGAACTCGGCGATCCTCTCCCCTCGACCACCTATCTCTGCATTTACCACAATAAATGTGCCGTGGTTTTGTAAACTCGTGTATGTCTCCTTGTCTTTCCGTTGTGGCCTACGAGCCGGTCATAACAAAGAGTAAGTTATTTTTACCTGTAATAAACTACTACTGTTTGATGAGAAATAAAATCATGGTTTGCTATATATGAATGATATGTTATAGGAGCAAATAATTCAGGGAAGAAAGGATAGGCCTACTAAGTATTTCCATTAAACTATTTTTAGAAATGTACAAAATGAACATAAATATACATATATACACGGTATATCATCAATTCCTCCCCGTTGTCGGCATCTTGCCTGGGCGCAGCCGGGGCTTTTTAGGACGAGGCCTCAGTGTGGTAGTCCCGTCATGTATTGTCCGGCAGGATCTGGCTGGACGAAATCAAATGCAAATCACAAAATATTAGAGAAACTTAGTTGTTTTAGATTCGTTAGTAGTAGTTGTGGTAGGAGTGTGGAGTAAGCTTGCCAGCTAATATGCTAACCTAGCTTTCTTGTTTACCTTGATAGCAAACACGATATGAACGTTAGCTCGGAGGAATGGCAACTATAATGGAGTGTAATAAAACTACTATGAACAAAAGCTAGTGGTTCATATTAGGCTAGCAATAACGTGTTTATAATTGCAATCTTATACGGGTAGTCTGCTACGTTCGGTCATACAATGTTTCCCGCTAGCATGTATAGCTGGCCTCGTTAGCTATACATGCTATCAGCGTCGGAGGAAAGCTAACTGTAATGTACAGTCCTTTGGGGGTCTGTGAGCGGGCAAAGAGAGGGGATTTCCCCGTTGTCTCTGCTGGAAGTGTGAAATAAACTTAGTTGTTTGATGTTCGTCAGCTTGCCAGCTGGATTACAACGCTAACCTACGTTTGCTAGTTGTTCAGTGTAATATGCTATACTATACTATGAACAACAGATAGTGGTTCATATTAGGCTATCAAGCACATGTTTACAATTGCAATCTTATATGGGTAGTCTGCTACATTCATTGTAGCTGGCATAAAAAAAATGTTTTTCCGAGCAAACTCATGTCTAGCTCTTAGTAGCCTTGTTGTTTAGCTCGGTAGCATACGCGACCGCGACTGACCGTACGGCAAATCACCCGGAGTATACTGTCTATGAGTATTTCATGTGTGAATGCAGACATTCTCCTGCTATGAGATACATGTATGTAAGGCCATCTGCTGATATTAGAGTTGATATGGAAACGCTAGCAACTTAGTTAGCACAGTTAGCACTGGCTTAGCAGTCCGAAACATGTTTACACATTTAAACAGTCGTGGTAGATACCTTGTTTGATAAATACACAAATAACAATGCAAACTTACAGGTTGTGTACCCGAATCTTCCCCTGCTCCAAACGGTCCAAACAAACTAGGAATAGCATCGTCCTTCAGTTTCAAATGCTGTGCATATCCGGCCTCAAACTGGGCAATGTTTTGGAAGCTTTCGTCTGTGAAATGCCGGTTCTTCGAACCTCTGAAGGAACAGTGTTAAAAAGACATTTCAACCACTGACTTCGTCGTGGTTCTTCCGTCGGTAGGACAAACAGCTCAGATTTCTCCTCACATTTCAGGAAACAGGTCCTTGGCATTGGCATGACTGGATCGATTGTGAACTGAACCAGAGCTTCCAAAAGTAAATGTTAGGCTGGCAGAGGGTGCGGCCAGCGCCGCTGGGTGTGGCCATAGCTCTTCGGGATTGGTCCATTTTGTTCAGGGTACCGCATGACATCATGCCGTACCCGGAACTAAATGGAAGACTCAAATGGGCAGTGATGTATCTCCAATGAGGCGTTTTGGGGAGGTATTTTCTGTGTTAGAGTTGTACTCGCTACAGGGTGTACTTTGAGAGTTTTGACTCTGCACACCGTTTACATGCATAAAAACCTTCATAACACACAAGGGGACGGGTACTAACCGGAAAAGCATGACATGGGAGCTTTAAGATTGGCGACAAGGAGTGTGAGTACTTCCTCATCCTGCACACCAAGCTGGCCGCCCCCACTACCAGCCCGAGCTGCAGGCCCAGTGCACGCTGATCAACTTCAGCGTGACCCGGGGCGGCCTGGTGGAGCAGCTGCTGGCCGCCACCGTCAGCATGGAGAGGCCGGACCTGGAGCAGCTGAAGGTGAGCATTCAGAGGAGAAACACTGCCTGATCCAGATACAAAACAACAGAGAGGAATCATGTTCCCGGAATCTAAAAGTGAATCTGAGCAGACATGCAAGCTGTATCTGCCACTCTCTTCAGGCACTGCGCTGCTAACATCTCCGTTAACCTGTTTCACACCTTCCCCCCGGTACCGGGCGGATAAACGCGTCATTTGCAGGAAACAACGTCTAAGGAATCTTAATATTGAATAAAACTATGAATGTGTTATATCCATGTAACGGGAAGAAACTCAGCTAACTGATCTTTTTAATTTTTTTTTTCAAAAAAAACCCACAATGCTAGCACTCAGCCTCTGAATTAGCCTTGATCGAAAAAACGGGACCTACAAAGGCACTTAAACTCACTCATAACTCCCTTATTACTTATCCTAGATGCACAGCCAACCACTCGTTTTTGGTGTCCTGGAGACACTGAATCTGTGTAAAAAACCTCAACACTCAGTGATAAACATTCGCGACGCTATAAACGAAAGCGTACATCATCACATGTGGAGCTAAGAAGCTAAACACGTAAATATGGCTTACCTTGGTCAAAAGTGGTCTTCAATGGCATTAAAACGATAAAAAAACGATGCTGCAGTTAATCCATAGGTTCATCCTATGTGTCTGTGCCTTCTTTGAAATTATTTCTGATAATCCATAAGCAATACAACTGCGTTTTAGTTTCCAAACTCCAGAAGGAGACATTCCTCCACTTTGGTTTCGTTTTCCACACGCGAAGCGCCCACATTTTTTCTTTATAACGTGTGTGGGTGTTGTCCTCCCCCTTCGATTCTATTGGCTCTAACGGTCACAAGGGTATGTCAACCAACCAAATCGAGCAAGGGGGGCCAGAGATAGGTCAAATCCACCCAAATGACCCCAGATGGCCCAGTTTTTGGCTAAATCTCTCTAAAAAGGTCAAATTTCACTTGTTTTGCATCAATCTTGATACAGGGTACTTATTATATGTTGTACTTTGGATTCCTAAAGCTTTTAGTCTACTAACCCATCATCCAAGGGTAGTTTTCACTATCTGTAAAAAATAATTTTTGGACGGACACTATAATTTACAGTTTTTTACTATGTAAAATCTGAATTTTCTTTAAAATAAAAAACATTTATATTGATTCTGACACTTCTACATCCAACTCACAGGTTTATCATTACTTTGAGAAAAAAGATTATTAATTTAACCCTTTTAGAAGGGAAGATATGGTCATTTGTTCTGGGAATGTCATTTTCGAGCCTGAGACCTGAAAAACAGGCTCAGAGTGGAACAGGTTAAGGTGTAATTCAAAGAAACAGTGAGAGGAGTCATCCTCCAGAAGATCAGCATTACCCACAAAACATTTATGTCACAAGAGGAGCTCCAAGCTCTGCCTCTTTAACGGCAGACTCAGAGGGTATGTGAAAATAATGACACCCTTTCTAACAGACACTTGGACTGTGTGTGTGTGTGTGTGTGTGTGTGTGTGTGTCAACTAAACCACTCAAAATTCAATGAAAGTGGTGATCAGCAATTTGTACGCCTAGGGCGCCAGATCTGGGGGGCGCTGCGCTGGTAGCTCTGGGAGGGAAGCACATTTTGTTTACCGTTGGTGCTCATCCTAATTTTCGGCCTTGATGTAACAATATTCATAATTAAGAAAATGTAACACCCTTTTCACCCCGGTTACACTTTTCATTTGCCCTGTACGATGGGCGCTGTAAGTGATGAAAATGGGGGATGTTGGCTTATCAGGCGCCCGCAGCTCACAGCCAAAGGGCGAGTGAGCGAGCGAGGGAGAGAGAGAGAAGAGCGCACCGGTACCGGCGCTGTTGTTATTAGAATCTGGTGCTAGCTGCTCTAACGGATATAAGAAGAAGATGTTTCCACAATGTGGAGGGAGAGTCCTCTCCAGTCAGACTGAGAGGCTGATAACTACAGCTCAGTGAGGTAATGTTACGAACTCAGAAACTCAAGGTATAGGACCCAATTGCACGAGCCAGGAGACAGAGGTAAAGTATTTGTAAGATACTTTATTTTCAAAAGAAGAACAGAAATAAACACTTTCTAATCTCTAGGATGAGATGACAAAAAGTGAACAAAAGAAAATCGCTCACGTAGTGAGGAACAAAAACATCTTGGTATCAAGGAGAGCATAGATCTGACCTAGGCATGAGACAAGACGAGCTGACAATGAACACTGGGAGACTGGGGAATTTAAACACACGACAACAAGACACAGGTGGGGACAATCAGGGGCGGCTGGTGCTGATGAGCACGGGAGACACACAAGAGGTAGATAATCAGGAAGCCTGGAATGACAGGTAAATGATGAGTGACAAAACAAACATAAAACAACATGAAAATGAAACTCTCTTAACATTTCTGTCGGTGCACAACAGGTAAAGGACTCTGAGTGTTTAGATAGTTCACTTTAGTCTAAGTTATCTCAGTGGGTCTCAAACGGTTTGATCACAATTGATGTAAACACATATTTCCAAGGCACTCCTTTATAATTATTGGGATAAACAGGTTTGAAATCATTTCAATGTATACTATAGAACAGTAACCAAAAATATCGTTTAAAACTGGAAAGATAAAAAAATATGCAAAAATCAATAAATGTTAACTGGCTGGGGGCCGGGGTGCCAGCTAAAATCTCGCCTAGGGCTGCAAATTGTCTAGAGCCGGCCCTGCGTTCAAATGCCTACTGTGGAGGATATAATAAGGCCTTGAGGCAATCGAGTGTAAAAAACAATAATTAAGGTTGATGAAAGTAGTAAATCTGTCAGGTTATTTTATTTTGCAGTCACAGGTTCAGAGTGAAAAAGACAGCTACAACTTTGAGAGCTCTTGGTCATGTAGCAGTGTGACTGGACACACACATTCTCACACACTGGGTACAAGAACGAACTAGCCACTGATTCGGCGTTATCCCACTGATCTACAGGTTGAGGTAACTCTCCAAGATGTGCTAACAAAGATAGGGTAGAAGAAGGCTAGCTTGTATTCTTCTTCTTACAGTGTATTTTCCTAGCTCACACAGAAATAAAGTCTGCGAAGACTGAGGAAACACCCTGACATGATGCTGCTAAACACAAGTTACTATGATTTCACTTCTTTGAAAAGTGCTGCTCAATACATCTTTTAAGTTCCGTCTTTCTGTCCGGCCATAATGGCCAGGATCACTTTTCATTCTGTCTTCTCATTCCTGCCCCACATAGTTAAGCACTTGTTCTGTTGAAACTTACTGTGAAATAATCATGAAGATGCAGGAATTGTTTATTAATGTCTTGATGCTATTCCAAAAGGAGTTTCATCACTTTATCTCATTTAGTTCACACGTCCACCTCTCCAAAGTGGGGTCAGGCAGACATGAGACGCTTTGAGCGGGGTTTCTCTCCAGTGATGAGCCTTCAGCTGGAGCTTCACTGGTCTCTCTCCAGTGATGAGCCTTCAGCTGGAGCTTCAGTGCTGGTCCCACTGTGTGACACTCTGTCTGACACTCTGTACAGACAGCAGCTTCCTGCAGCTGCACGGCCCCATAATGAGCAGCAGACAGTTACCGTCTCCACAGTATGGTGTGAATGTAAATGTTCGTGATTAAGTGAAAACTCACTTGATCAAAGCCCCGGCGCCTAATGAGGCCTTGCGCTCGTCTCATCCACAATCTGTGCTTTTCATGTCAGCTGTTTGAAATGGATTAGCCGGTGGCGCTGCTGTTCCACAGCAATTAGACAACACAATAGGCGCTTTCACACCGGAGTACTTTTCCCCGTACTTTTCCCGTTTAGTTCCGATAGTTCCTGGAATTTTGCGTTCACACCAAAAAGAGTACTTAGTTCAGAGAACTTTACCCCCATGTTTAGTGCCTGCTAGAGAGGTGGTACTATCCTGGGGAGAAAAAAGTACCAATTTCTGATTGGCTGGGCGAATTGCAAACCACGGCCCGTAAAACTCTGAAAAGTTTTTGTGAAGCCGCCATTTTATTTCCTCGCGTCAGCATTATTAGCGTTAGCATTAGCCCAGCGCACCAACGGAGAGAACTTATGGCAAAAAAATTATAACATGGGAGCGGTGGAGTGATGAGGAAGTGTCGGCGTTCTGGCGATTTACTGGCTTCTACTGAAGCCAGTCCCCAACTACGGGGACTTCCGGCTGGGGACTTCGGGTGGCAGTATACGCCGTGAAGTTGTTTGCGGGCTGCCAGTAAACCCAAAGCAGAAGAAGAAGAAGTGACGTCAGCGGCTTTATTTGCGTAATCTTATTCCGGTGTGAACACGATCTGTACTTAGTTCCATGGGGGTACTAAGTGCTGGGTACTAAGTGCTGGGCACTAAGTACGGCAAAGTACTTGGTGTGAAAGCGGCTATTGACACACTTACACTGTTCTTTAAATGCGTCTCTTGTTAGTTGAGCGGCAAGGAAAATCTGCAATCCCTCTGCGGTGTGAACAATGGCTGACGGCTCTGTCTCTGACAGATCAGAATTCAAGATAACGGGGAACTGTTAATGGGTCAGGCAGATCCAACATAATGTTATTTGCATTTTGACGGTTTTCTGGAGTTGTGCTAGGTCTCAGAGCTGTATTAGGACCTGTAGGCTTTCATCCATGGACAAATGGAGAGTATTCTAAGCCTTGTGTCCCCTCAGCAAGATCCAATGAAGAAGTGAAATGTGATTTAATGAAGATTGTTTAATTTTTTAATTTCAGAGATCGGATGTTAAGACAAAACCAATAACTCACTTAATATCATTCTAATTAAAAGTGAAAGTAGAAGGAGGGTGGGGGGGGGGGTGGGTAGCTGTGTACAATTCCCATCACAAAGAATGAGGCTCTGAATGGATTCTGTTGCCAGTAAACAACCCGGACTGATAACAATCATCAGTGTGATAGCAAATTGGCTCTACCTGTTATTGTATTCTTTGAATGACTTGGTGCTATTATACCTTTAATGAGGTTAGCGTTGCTACTCAGCCGCAACATGAGTGAAAGAGCTCTCATTTAACCAAGCCAACGACGTGATAAGTTGCCTTTTTGGAGAGAGTACGTGGGATCACCTCCTCTACTCCTTCCTCGTGTGTACATCCATGTGTGTTTGCTCCCTCAAGCATTAATGAGAACTAAAATGCTCCACTTCCCAAATTACCCTAAAAGGGCTGCTCTGTGCGGCACTCACTAATCAATATATGATAGATATAATATCTCATTTTAATCCCAATTAGAGTGTTCTGCTGACTGGTTAATTGTTTGTTTTTCCTAGGCAAGAGTAATTACAAGTACAATGTGCCTGAGGAAAGCTAATTGTTAAAAACGGACTCATTACCAGCTCCAGTTGGGAGTGTTTGAGTGTGGAGTGCCCCCCCCCCCCCCCCCAGAGTATTGAGTCTGTGCATGAAGGTCACAGTTTACTCACACAAATAAATGTCCTTCAAGGTTCAAGGTTCTTTATTTAGTCAAACGAACATAGCTACAGACAGGGTTGGGAGGGTTACTTTGTAAATGTAATCAGTTACTGATTACTGATTACATGGCTCTGAAAGTAATCTGAATACAGTTACAGTTACGTGTCTTCAAAAAGTAACGTAATCAGATTACTTTTAGATTACTTTTGGATTACTTTCTTTTTCCATCACAGATGGGTATGTTTTGGTGTACAAGAGCACAACTGAAACATAACATCTGAAACGATGTAACAACATAATACACTTTTTGGGATGCAGCTTGGGATGTGAGGAGTGAGGGACACGGCTTAGAATGGGCGTGTCGCCTTCTGTCCTGCCAGTGTTGGCAGGACATGAATTAAAATGTCGAACTCGGACTTCATTTTAAGGACATTTCGGCCAGGGGTGTAGATCTATATTTGTTTAAGCACCGGATTGGCACTTCATGAAATCTCTGCAGCACCAGGAGGCAGCGGGAGGGTTAACTCAGCCTCTGAGAAGAGGAGCGCGCAGTGCCTTTCACGCACCGCCTTCACTGCGTTTACCTTCAGAATCATTAGAAAGGATAAAGAGCGACCGCAGGCTGATGTGTTTTAACCACACACACCTCTACACAAACACGGTTTAAACGCAGACTTTTGTTCCTCCATGTTTCATAGTTATTGTTTCACTGAGCGGACCCGCAAATATTTTTTCAAACGCTCCCTTTTTTAGTCCATCTGCGGCGGTAATAGGTTTTGTGCGCTGTGATGATTCGGCTGTACCTTTAGTAATGAATATTAAATGTTGTGAGGAAATCTTTCCACCAAGTAATCCAAAATGTATTCACTTCAGGTTTACGAAAGTAACTGTAATCAGATTACTCGTTTTTCAAATGTAACGCGAGCTGAATACAGTTACTTGATTTTTGTATTCTGATTACGTAACGCCGTTACATGTATTCCGTTACAACCCAACCCTGGCTACAGAGTAGTTATGCCGATGAAAATATTGTGTCACAGGCTTCTCCAACAGTGCAACACAGAACACAGATAAACAGAAAATATAGTGCAAGTAAATAGTAATACAAAAAGAAAAATAGTTTAAAAAGGGAAATAGTGCAATAAGAGTCTATATGCAAGTTATTGAAATATGATATATAGGTAAATAGATGAATAATTTAAAAATATTTTTAAATAAGTAGCAGCCAGATGAATATTAAGGATGTTGTTTCAACTGTTCAGGTGTTTAACAGATTTTGCTTCAACAGTTCAGGTGTTTAACAGTCTTATTGCCTGTGGGATGAAACTGTCCCTGAGTCTGGTGGTTTTAGTCCGGATGCTGCGGTGCCAGACGGCAGCAGACAGAACAGTTTGAGGCTGGGGTGATGGGGGTCTTTTATAATCCGGAGGGATTTCTTCCTGAGGCGTTGGGAGTAAAGGTCCTCCATGGATGGCAACTCCGTCCTGGTGATGTGCTGTGCAGTTTTCACCACCCTCTGTAAAGCCTTACGATTGAGGTCGGTGCAGCTGCCGTACCAGGCCGTGATGCTGCCAGTCAGGATACTCTCTATGGTGCACCTGTAGAAGTTTTGCAAAGTATCCTGGAGTCCATGTTGAACCTCCTCAGCCTGCGGAGGAAGAAGAGCGGCTGTCGAGCTGTTTTGGTGATGGTGGTGGTGTGAAGAGTCCATGTCAGGTCCTCAGTGATGTAGACACCGAGGAACCTGAAGCTGCTGACTCTCTCCACCGTAGTCCCATTGATGGCGATGGGGGCGTGTCCCTCTCTCTGCTGCTTCCTGTAATCCACAATCAGCTCCTTGGTTTTGCTGACGTTGAGATGGAGGTTGTTATCCTGGCACCAAGATGTCACGTTTTCGACCTCCTCTCTGTACGCCGTCTCGTCGCCGTCTGTGATCTGGCCGATGACGGTCGTGTCGTCAGCAAACTTCACGATGGTGTTGGAGCTGTGTGTGGCTACGCAGTTGTGAGTGAACAGGGAGTAGAGGAGAGGGCTGAGCACGCAGCCTTGAGGGGCTCCGGTGTTGAGGATCAGGGTGGAGGATGTGGTGTTTCCCACCCGCACTGCCTGGGGTCTGCCCGTCAGGAAGTTCAGGATCCAGTCACAGAGGGCGCTGTTGAGCCTGAGGTCTCTGAGCTTGATGACCAGCTTGGAGGGCACAATGGTACTGTAGTCAATGAACAGCATTCTCATATATGTGTTCTTCAGGTCCAGGTGTGAGAGGGCAGTGAGGATGGTGAGGGCTATGGCGTCGTCTGTGGACCTGTTTGCTCTGTAGGCAAACTGCAGGGGTCCAGAGAGTCAGGGAGGGAGGAGGTGATGAATGATTTGACTAACCGCTCAGAGCACTTCATGATGATGGAGGTGAATGCTACTGGGCGGTAGTCGTTGAGGCTGGTGATGATTGTCTTTTTGGGGACAGGAACGATGGTGGAGTGTTTAAAACATGTGGGGACTACAGACTGCAGCAGGGACCTGTTGAAGATGTCTGTGAACACCTCTACCAGCTGAACTGCACACACCCTGAGAACACGGCCAGATGCAAAGCAATCCTGCAGAGCTGAATCTGACTCCTCACTCCATCGTTGTAGTGTCTTTGTTACCGGTCTGTCCCGTTTGAGTTTCTGCTTGTAAGCAGGCAGCAGCAGCAGTGAGATGTGGTCTGATTTGCCGAAGGGAGGGCGAGGGAGAGCCTTGTATCCATGTTTGAAAGGGGAATAAACATGGTCCAGTATGTTTCCCCCGCGCGTCGGGCAGCTGATGTGTTGAAAGTATCTCGGCAGAACTTTCTTCATGTTGGGGGTATTAAAGTCCCCGGCCACAACGAACGCCGCCTCTGGCCGTGAAGTCTCCGTACTGTCGATAATCCCAAACACCTGATCGAGTGCTGTGTTGTTGTTGGCGAGCGGCGGATTATACACTGCTGTGATCACAACAGATGTAAATTCTCTCGGCAGGTGAAAAGCCCGGCATGTGATCTTGAGGTGCGCTAAATGAGCGGAACAGTCAGAATAAATAATCCTCACATCTGTACACCAGTTCTTATTTATCATGAGACACACACCACCTCTCTTACTTTTCCCCGAGTTAACTGTTCGGTCCTGGCGAACAATAGTGAATCCGTCAGGAACAATGGCGGAGTCCGGGATAGCGGGGTTTAGCCAAGTCTCGGTGAGAATGAACACGTTACAGTTCTTAATGTCCCGTTGAAAAGCAATCCGACTACTGAGTTCATCTAGCTTATTTGCAATCGATTGAACATTAGCCAGAAGAATACTCGGAAGAGGGGGTCGGTTTCCTCGTTTTCTCAGTCTTACCAGCAGCCCGGTGCGGGACCCCCGCTTGGTCTTCTTCTTGCGTCTCTCAGGTAGGACAACAGGTGGCCATGGCGAATCTCCAAGTTATGCATCAGGGATCATGCCACATGCCAAACCCTCAGCTGTTATCAGAGACAGCAGTATCTCACAACTACCCATATTGCCCTAGTTACAACAATTCAAGGTCACAGAGGTTTCTTAAGGGAACTTTAAAAAAGAAGTCGTTATGGAGCAGAAACAAGGAGCTGCACAGACTTTAATGAAGGACAAAAGAGGATGAGGAGAGAAGTAACGCGCCCTGTCCACTTTGTTCTCTCAGACAGCACGCTTTTCGAAGTCAACGTCTCTGTCAGTGTTTTCTTTAGGCTGACCAAAGACAGGAACAAACACTTGAGTTCAAACTTTGCAGGGAACATTAATTAATACGGTAAGGTGGAAGCAAACGCGTAATGAACGAGCTTTGTGTCCATTTGTGCATATTGTTGGTTTAAAACAGATCACATAATGTCTCATACCAGAGGAAACATAGTGTGTGTGTGTGTGTGTGTGTGTGTGTGTGTGTGTGTGTGTGTGTGTGTGTGTCAAAGCTCCTCCCCCTCTTGCTGGAATCGACGTCTCTTCACATCGATGGTCAGGTCGCTCAGCAGAGGTTTGATGTTGCAGCCAGATGCAAGCTTCTAATCCCGCCCACAGCGCTGCCTTCATGGGACCGGACAGCCAGAGCAGAGCGTATTGATTGGTTCTGCCTTTGTGGTGCCCTTCAGCATGCATGTCCTCATATTGACCGACACCTTGAACGTCTCCCCCACCTCAGATTATGATGATAAGGCCAGAAAGGAAGCTGACAACAAGAATCTATCTTCAGCATGTGATTCTGTCGAAATAAAGTGTTTCTGTGTTTATTAGTACGACCTGACCAAGCAGCAAAATGGTTTCAAGATCACTCTTAAGACGCTGGAGGACAGCCTGTTGTCCCGTCTGTCCTTGGCTTCAGGGAATTTCTTGGGAGACACAGAGCTGGTGGAAAACCTGGAGACGACCAAACACACCGCCGGCGAGATTGAAGAGAAGATTTTTATTTTAACTTAACAACTCTCTATTTCCTTTATTTATTATAACTTTGTCACTCCTATTAACTCTTTAGAGTAAAGTGAATACAAATGGTGTCTAAAATGCTAAACATATATGCAGGGGCAGATTGGAAGACTTGCTGAGCAAAGCGAATAGCCGCTAATTCGCAGCAGACTGCGTGAATGACGTGAATGCGCAGCACAAATGACGCGAGTGACACACATTTTGCACCATATCCGTGAGAGTTAAAAATGTGCGACAAATTGACATGACACTGTCTCACAAAAGTCAATCATCATTTGTCACTGTCATACTGATGTAGAATCAGAAGGAAAAAAATGGCAGAGCACTACAGTACCTCAAAGACTTGACAAAAATCACTATTTATTTGTTCAACCATACTTTCTATGGAACTTTGAATTCAACCGTGTCCATTGTTCACATGTGTCATTCTGTATACATGTGTTTCTTTGTGTCGGTAGCAAAACATAACAAACGTCCCAACCAGGGGCGTCGCCTGGACCTGAAAACATTCGGGGCTTAGCCCACAGTGGCGGCGGCACTAGTGGCATTTTTCACTGCAACACTCCCCACACGCACACACACAGTACACCCGCGACTGTTACAATGAAGGCTCGATAATCAGCTCACGGCATATAGGCAGGGGTAAAGTGGTATTTTTTATGAGTGGGGGGCGGACCTCACCTCCTCTAGAGGGGTCCGGGGGCATGCTCCCCCGGGAAGATTTTTTTTTAAATATTGAAGTTAAATGCATCAATCTGGTGCACTTTGAGAGCAACATGAAGAGATCTATGGATACCTCTCTCAACACCCATATGAAACAGAACTGTATACAGATTTTCTTTTTCTTTAAGGATATTTTACTAATCACTCCCCTTTTAAACTCTATTCTTGTTTTACTGCCATATAGTATTTCATAACTGTTTTTCCTTTATTCTCTTATTTTTTTTATAACTATAATGATCATATGAAGGTGTGCCGCAGAAATAATCTTTTGAATAATTTGTGACCAAACCGTTTGAGACCCACTGAGATAACTTAGACTAAAGTTAAGTATCTAAACACTCTTTAGCTCACCTGAGTCTCTCAGTCTGAGAGGAGAGGACTCTCCTCCAGCTTGTTGTGGAACAAACACCTCCTTATGTCCGTTAGTGCAGCTAGCTAACCAGATGCTAACAACACGGTCCCTGCTGGCACCGGGCACCGGTCCCTCTCTCTCTCTCTCTCTATCACACTAAATGCGCTATTGCCACACACACACAGAGCCGAGCTTGAATGACACAAGCACACGTTTATTTCCATGCAACTCTCTGATTGGTCTGGTGTCATGCCCTTGTTGCATTCACTGAACACGGGAAATTACAGTGCTGCAGTCCTCTCTTGTGTCATGATGAGGTTCACGTAAAGCACGGTTAATGTATTATATTATTGAGGGAAAATTGTCCGGGGCTACAGAAAAAACATTCGGGGCTAAAGCCCCGGATGCCCAGGCCAGGCGACGCCACTGGTCCCAACAACACATTAGATCAGTCTATCCATGATCCCTTACAGCAGCATCAGGCTCTCACTGACGGCTACCATTTACCATCATTTTCATTTCACTGTTATTAGGGCCCGAGCACGGAGCGCTAGGACCTAACGGCGTCCTAGCACGAAGTGCGAGGAACCTATTGTTATTGGAGGAATTATTATTATTATTATTATTATTCCATATTTGAATCCTTGTTTTCAGGCCTTTAGGATGCTTCAAAAGTTGTATAATTTTGCAGAGACGCCAGGACCGGTGAAAAATGTGACATTCTGGAGTCAATGGGTTCAAATTATTCAACATGCTCGCTAGCGCCACCTATTAAAATCCCATTTCGGAATACATTTACAAAGTCGCACCGTAACTCCGAATGACCTGACTTTTTTTTATTAGCATAATTTGCTAAAACAGTGAAATGTTCACTTAAATTTCAATTTTCAGTTTTTCAACACCAAACTTCGTATACAGCATCGGTGGAGGGTCAGACACATTACCGTAGAAAATGAGCATGTTCAGATGATAAATATTGCCACCATGAATCAAAACTAGAGATGGGCGAGTCCTGATTCATCCGGATCATTAACCCGGATCCTAGAAATGAGCTGGTCGTGACGAGTCTCCCCTCTCCATTAACCCGAGTCCTTTGAGTCCCACACTTGGTGTGACGTACAAATTAAAACTATAAATTGCGTCACTCGCTACTCTCTTTATAACATGTAAAATCACATTACAACGTACCCCAGTCCATCTGCCTACCCTTTAGCAAGTAGGATAGCTGCCAGAAGTGATCGTTTGGCTCAGGGGAGGGGACGCGGATCAGTGAAACTTCCTGCAGACTCGTGGGGACTCAGAGGAGCCGACGGCTCCTAACCGTAATAGCATAGCAGATCCAGAGATCCATACTCGTCATGTGCACGAGCATAGCCCCTCCTCCAGCACCCGGCTCCCGCGGCTATATTGTGCACGAGTCAACAGCAGACTCGCAGATTCGCAAATCCTGACTCGCTGTGCAAAACACAGCAGACTCGTGCAGACTCAGAGCCGTAACCGTATAGCAGCAGATCCAGAGATCCAGCAGACTCGTCATCATGCACGATTCAACAGCAGACTCAGATTCGCTAAATTACCTTTTTTTTGTGATCAATATGTTTTATTAAAGCAAAAGACACCATTTTACACACATTTAACACATACAAACACCAGTATTGCAATGATTACGCAGTCCATGAGAAAATATGGGGGGCATATGATTAGATATAATTATATGTTTAATAATAATAATTGTATAATTAAGACATTTTATATATTCTAACTGTTTTGCAATTTTCTATCATTTGTCATTGTTTGTTTCTTTTTGTGTGCTATGTTCAAAATAAACGTTTTGCCAAGTAAGATCCTTATTGGAAATGCAGCTATTACACGCAGGAGGCTGTTGCACAACATGACAATTTTGTTAGAAGTCTACACTGAAACTTCATTTAGAGCCGGAAACATAATGGACTTAATCAAAATCGCGGGATCCGTGAATCCAGGTCAATGATCGAGAGAGACCAGTAGCCTACGAGTTAGTCAGCGGAACTTCACAGACTCAGATTCGCAAATCCTTACTCACTGTGCAAAACACAGCAGACTCGTGCGGACTCAGAGCCGTATATAGCAGCAGATCCAGAGATCCAGCAGACTCGTCCTCATGCACGAGTCAACAGCAGACTCAGATTTGCCAAATCGCAAAATAACCCTTTTTTTTGTGATCAACATTTTTTATTAAAGCAAAATACACTGTGTAGCGGAGGTTAATATAACGTCCGTTTAATATGCTCGTGAAATGCAACAACTTTTCGGTTGCACCGATAGGATTTCTACGGTCTTGGTGATGCTGACTCAAATGACTCAAATGACTCGTATGATCCGGATCTCTTCAATGACTGACTCAGAAGACCCTGAGTCCGTAAAAGGATCCGGATTTGCCATCTCTAATCAAAACGTACTCGCAAAAAGGCGGGGCTTAGAAAGAAATGCTCATAACTCATCAACAATGTATCCACATATCACAGATTTGTGTGGATAGGTTCAGTCTGTCTTGGGGAATAGAGAACAGCAGTGACGCGTCCTAAAACCCGGAAGTAAACTTCTTCCGGTTCCTTCGTCAAAAACGCAATGCAATTTCTCCATAGGATTTTGGAAAATAGCTCGAAATAAGGTCTGTGGTTGACACACATTTAAGAGACGGATCACGTTTTGTTCAGCTGGATAATATCCACAATTTTCTAATCATAAATCTAGTCGCCAGAAGCAAAATGCTAACATTATGCTATAAACAAACTACAGCAAGGTCGCTGCTTCAACGTCACGCCAACTTAAGATCCATATTCAAACATACAGATTATAAATGGTACAAGTTGAAGCGTTTGTTTGAACAGTTTGCAGGAGGCAGGTACTTGCTTTCAAGCAGAACAGGGCAAACAAACTTAGCGGGAGTGTTTTACGTGTTCGGTGTAATGACGTAAAACCGCCTGGACAACTTCTGTAGCCCTATTCAGCCACATGTTAACAACCATCGTTTTTCAGACACGTAAACTCTTCAAAAATCACCAGCGGGGTCACTGCTGATGTATTTAATGTCGTAGAACAAAGCGTGATCTGTCTCTTCAATTTGTGTCAAACACAGACCTTATTTCGAGCTATTTTCCAAAATCCTATGGAGAAATTGCATTGCTTTTTGTCGAAGGAACCGGACGTGGTAAAAATGCTAACTTACTTGCGGGTTTTAGGACGCGTCACTGCGGTTCTCTATTGGCACACCAAAGCATTTTCATTTTGGACTATAGGGGGCGCCAAAAACACCACCAATTTATAACTCAAGAATGGATGGACGAATCTTTTTTTAATTTTTTTTAGACATACTCTGGGGATGACTACAAACTGAGATGTAAAGGATCGCAACAAATGCAGAATGTGGGCGTGGCCTATACATTTTTTTTTTTTAAATGCGAAAGCATAAAATGAGCTTCGGATGCAAAACTTGGGACACACGTCACAGCCCACGACCTTTTCGAGAATGTAAAATAAAAACGTAATTTTTCAAAAAAAAACTGCTCATTAGCGCCCCCCTATTGTGTTGTAGTCACATATAGTTTCTCAGAACTTCACGAACTTTGGCACTGACATTCCTCATGGAATTGCGGACATATTTCTAATTAGCTTCCATTAGCCCCGCCCCCCAGAAAGTCGGCCATTTTGAAATATTTGCGTTTTTCATGCATTTTAAGCACATTCTTGCGAACTCCTCCTAGGGGAATGATCGGAAAAATTCCAATCCAGGACAAGTTCAGCCCCTATCCAATATGATGCTAAATTGCGGAGCACATTTTTGATAAATCAATCGTGGAGGTCGTAAGCTAACAGCGAATACACAATTTTTTACGATTTACATGTCACAAATTAATCCAAACTACT